AATCATCTCATGAATGCTTCTAATGGTGAGATGACAGATAATCAAAGCAAAACCAAGATTTGTCCTTAGACTTGGAATAATCCTGTTCAGGAAATCCTATGGGGCCACGTTTCTTTATTAGGAGCTTGGAAGATTTCCCTGACTTTGGGATAGTGAGCACTTCTCTCAAATGGCTGCTCACTAGGGATTGACAAACTGCAGAGGGACCTAATATTTCATTGAAAACATACCCAAATGCATGCTTCCCTGAATTTCCTGTGTCTGCAGTATTGGCCAAGAAATCAATTGCCTCTTTATACGGATGCTTTCAGGGGCTTCATATAGGCTTTGATGTGCTCTCTGCGGTGGTGCTGACTTGCTAGCCCTTGCCCCTAAGGATACCATGGCATGAAGATGGTTCTTCCACATGGGGCAGAACCTCATTCACATGCTTCCTTGGTTTTCACGCACAAATTCCCACTATAACTTACTTCAGGCAGCTCTGCAGGGCAGTGAGGCTTTGGTAGGGACGTGTGGCACCCCCGCCGGAGTCTGCATGCCAGCCCCAGTGCCGCCCATGAAACCCTGACAGCAAAACCTGCGTTGATACAAAACCTATAAAAACCTGACTTAACTGACAGGGACCTCATGGTTTACCCACCAAGCCTCCACTTTTTCTTCTGTTTTCTGCGGAGGAGACCGGCTTCCCAAAACACGTGATTTGTGAGAAAATTTGATTTGAGAGTCAGACAAATGTTTTACTTTCCACCCAAAAAGCACCGCGGCTTTTGGGAGAGCTGTGTTCTGGGGTGACCGACTGTGTTTCAGCCCCTCATTGTCCTCAGCAGCGCCGCAGTGAGGGTGGTGCCAAATGGCAAATAGCAGGGTCTTGGGGACAGGGTTTGGTTTATGTCTGAAAAACTGTGATTTTATCACCCTCTGAAAAAAAAAAAAAATCTCACATCGTGATTGATGCCTCAGGGTTGTCTTTTTCATAAAACTCTTTTTCACCTGTTTGCCCTGCCCTTTGCAGAGGGTAACCTGTGGGCTGGGGAAGCTGCTGTCTGCCTTGGAGCCAAGCTTTGCAAACCCACTGTCCTGGGGCTGCTGGCAAGGGCAGGCAGTCGGGGACATTCCATAAATCCAGTGGCTACAAAATCCCACTCTAATAAAAGCTGTACCCTCGGTTGTGCACGTCGGCAGTGGCGGGCGGGGGGGGGAGGGCGAGATGGGTTAAATAACGGTTAAATAAGGCATGCTGTTGCCTCAGCAACCCCCTCCCCATGCATGTTGGAGCTGGAGTGGGTGTCAGAGCCCAGCAGCTCTCCAACAGCGATGGGGGTCGGGGAGGCTGATGTAAATCTGTTCAAGATGGAGCGACATCCTGGCTGCCCCGGTACCCTCCTGGTACCCCAGAGAAATTATGCTGGGCTTAGTCTTGTTTAAAAAGGGGAAAGAAATCTGTCCCTATAATAATCTGCTGAGGGTGGCTGCCAGACACCCCCCACCCCTTGCACCTTCACGACATCCCTGGAGGAAGAGGGTGGGATATTTTGGAGAGCAGTATCAGCCTTGAGGACCTGCCAATTCTGTGTGCTCAAGCTGATGGTGAGCTGGAACTGTCAGGTATCACCTGTGGGGTCAGCAGCTGCCAAATCCCACTTTTCCACGCTGTTACAGGAAAGGTGGGCTTTTGCATTGGACTATGGCTACATCCAGGCTCCCTTGTGGGAAGCAGAAATTCAGGCAGGGTTGGAGATACCTAGTTACCACTTTTTGCCGGCGAAGCAGTGTGGCTTTTCCCTCGGGAGGAGGTTGAGGGGGGGAGGGAAGGCAATGGCTCAGGTGTGCCCTGGGTGCAGGTGAGCTCGATTGCTTGGCAGAGACCCTGCAGCTGGGGCTGAGCCAGATGGGGAGCAGAGAGTGTGCTAGAGCCCGGGGTGAGTAGAGTGGATGGCTCTCCAGAGCAAGGTAAGGTTGAACTGGACTTTATTTGGGTTTCCTTGGGAGGTCTTATGTTGGCAGGGTGCTTTTTGCAAGGTCTTGCATTCGTAGCATGGTTTTTGCTGGTTGGAGAAGCCAGCAAGTGGAAGGTATGGAGCTCAGGCTGGTGTTGGAGGAGACCAGCTCAGGAGCTGGTGTTGGTGACCTCTGAGGCTGGTTGTCTTGGTTGAGGCAATCCTTGTTTTGCTGTGTTTTGATGGTAGAAGTTGGAGATAACTACCTGGAGGACTAAGTCTTAGCAGGAGGAGTTGTTGGAGGTGAATGCTGTTATGTGAGGAGATGGAAGGGTTGATTAATGTGTTGGTGTCTCACAGGGAGTGCTGTGGGGGAAGAGTTATGGCTGGATTTTCTTTTTTTGCTACAGTTGTGCTGCCCCCTTGTAGAAAATGTGAACTTTTATGAGTGTTCTCTGAAGCAGGATTGTTTTATCTCCCTTTTGCAGAGTTGCAATGAAATATGAAACTCACGGATGTCACGGTTTTCTATTTCTGCTACAAATCCCTTCCAAAATGGATGCATTTGCTGTATGAAGTTGCTTGGACTTCCAAAAGGCCCCAACCCTGCAAAGCGAACTGCAGCTATTTGTCCTTACGTGAATTCTTTGTAAGGCCAAGACCTGAACTGGTTTGGGGATTTTCTTTTCTATTTTTCCAAATGAACAGGTATCTGTTATAAAGACACTAGTGCAAAAGGCACTGATTTCCTCATATGAGAGTCAGCAAGATGAAATCGGTGAAATGCGAGGTCCTCACACTCCTTTAGCCTGGACAGGTGGGTTGGACTTGTTACGTTCTCCTACGGTGCCTTTCCTTGGGCTTGTCCCAGTGCTGGAGGGAATTTTCGGTGGAGCCAGCTCCCAGTCTGATGGCTGAGGTAGCGCATTTCTCTGCACCGTGGCTTCTGACAGCGTCTAGACGAGGGCAGTTATTGCTGGGCTGGTTACTGCCCAGTCACGTTTCCGAGGCTGACTTGGCACTGATGTGGGCTCGGCGCTTGAATCACAAAAATGCAAGAACTGAAGCTATGGTTCTGATACAATCTCGTGGTACTACCGTCTGGGGCCTCAGACACTAGTGCTAGTGTTTTAGCCTCAACCTTGTTCACACCAGACCAGATCAGTGAATTACAGATTTGGGTAGGTCAGAATTTACAGTTTCACATCCTAAATCTGTGTTTTTGTCCTTGATGGCTTGGTCTGTTCACTTTTCTCCCCAAACTCTCCCTAATCCTAACTGATATTTGTTTCCCACTATTAAACCTCTTGAGAAATCACAGTATCTGGTGTGTGATTTGCATTAGACAAGTGTAGTCAGAGTTCATGGAAACACTTTGTGAAGCAATGGTTTATCTCCCTCTTATGGCCAGATTCAGAATGGCTACGCTGCACACAGCTTTTGGTAGGGAGTCCCTGCACTTGTAAGCTTTGGTGGTTGTGGATGTGAGGGGCCCTGACTGCTCACAAGGAATTGTTGACCTCTCTTTAAGGAAGCTGGTAAAATATATTTTTCACTACAGTATAAACAGGAAAATATCTGTGAAAGAGTTAAACTGCTCCAGTTCCTTGTGGGTTTGAACTGGAGAAACTGGTTTCCAGTTTAGCAAGAAGTTGGAGAACGGGATCCTGCTCAGCTGCAATTGCAGGTATACCCTGTTTGCTGAGAAGGAAGGTGCTGTCAGAAAACTTGGCTGGCACCCGGTGATGCTGACGGTCTCAGAGTAGTGGTGTGCTTGAAGCAGGTGGCATAGGAGAAGCGTTGTGACAGTGGGTGCTGCTCTCGCTCTTTCTAATGACGTGGTGAAAAGAAAGTAAAATACTCCGTTAAATGTTCCAGGTGTGATTTCTAGCCCTCCCGGCACCCCTTCTCCTGGCCAAAATCACAATGATATATTCAAAGCTCTCTCTTCCAGGCCTATTGGCTGTGCCTCATTAAAACCAGTCATGCTTGTCCTAAAAACAGGAGAGGAAATGGAGCTGGATGTGCTTTGGGTTCAAGACTCCTATATTGATTCCAGTGTGGATTCAGAGTGCTTTGGCAAAGACTAGCTCAGCATTTGGGGCAGGGGTTGGTTTGTCCCACTATCCTGACAAGGGCCCAAGTTTGATCCTTCACTGTGCCAAGGATTCAGAGTTGTGGTTTGGACTTGCCTCCAGACAGTCATGATTATTCCCCGTTCCCAGAGAGGGGTTTTGTGCCTGACCTGTAGGCTGGGAATCCAGGTGTCTCACTCATCTGGTATTAAGATTCAAAACTGGGCTGGCTGTGAATTCCGTAATAAATTTTAAACTTGGAACTGCATTACGATGATGTGGGAGTACTTTAGGGATGAGTAAGGCCTGGGTACCAATGATGGAAGAAACCAAAGATG